TTCCAGGCGTTTCGACGCCAAAGCGGTGACCCCTTCCCCCGCTTCAACGCTCGAGCATCTGCAAGTTTTTCGACCTGGTGGTGGACCACGATCATCTTGTGCCCTGTCAAGAATGGTTCCAAAGATCTTGTCGCGCTCGTTCTGGAAGCCGCTTGCTTCGGCGCATGTCCTGCTCCTCTGACGCTTCGGATGATCGCGTTCCATGCGCACAGACCCACCTCGATTTTCGACTTCGGAAGAGGAAGACTATCTATCAGCTGCTGGACGCAGGAGGCTCTCGAATGCTCCAACTGGTCTTGGCCATGCGCGGCGTTACCTTTTACTAACCGTCGCGCCCACGCTAAAGCAGAGCTTCAATTGCAGGGCGAGACCCGCGCGGCGAACGTAGCCATCTACGTTAGCAAGACAGATACAATCGTTCTCGGCCGTTTGCAAACATTACATTCAACATTGCAGTCAAATACACACAGCATAATCTACATAGAAGCGCGAAAAATCATCCCATCCTGCGCACAGCGTCCGTCCCTCAGAACACACGACGAAATTACTCGGGAATATATGTTTCCCCGGAACGCGCCGCCCGTCGTCCAGCAGCTCGCCGCTCCACCACCATCCTCGGGCGTGGCAGTCACTGCAATGATATCGCCCTCCTGGAAGTCAAACTCCTCGTCGATCGTCGCCCGGTAGTCGAACAGCGCTTTGACTGCAAACAGGTTGCGAGTGAGTCACGAGAAGAAACGCAAAAAGACGAAGAACGCACCATAGAACCATGATCCACTTGCCGTCGGAAGTAGTCTGCGTGGGCTGCTGAGGCTGCGGCGACGGCGAGCGCCGCACAGGCGCCTGATGTACAGGCTGTAGCTGCAGATGCTGCTGCTGCGGCGCGCGCACAGCTGCTGCTGCTGAGGAGGACTAACCCGTACGAGTTGCTGCTGATGCTGCTGGGGTTGCTGGCTGTTGCCGCCCATCCGAATAATATCCCCCGCTCCCCCGTCGACACAACCCGCGCTGCAGTCCATTCTGCAGCCCGTTCACCGTCTGGTACGCGCTCGCGTGCGGCTGCGGCTGATACACCTGGCTGCTTGCTGCTGCGCGGGGCGGCGGGGCCTGGTACGCGCGGGGGTGTACGACTGCTGCAGGGGCGGCGGCGGTGGGACGTAGCCCGGCTGGGGCTGGTACGGGTGTCATCGCGCCATAGGCCGGCTGCTGAGGCGGCGGGCGGGCGGCGGGGCGGGCGTCACCGTCCCCGGCCCCATGTAGCTCACGCGCCGTTTGCGGCTGGTTGTACGCGCCCTGCGACGTCGGCGCCGCCATCGACTGGCGCTGTTGCTGCTGCTGTGGTGGCTGCTGCTGCTGATACCGCTGCGCCATCTCGTCGTGTATCACCCGCCCACTCGGGTCCAGCGCAATCCCCAGATTATTCGGGCTCGCCGCGCCGTTGCGGCTGTTCATGCTGCTCGACGCCCGACGGCGGCGCGATGAAGCTCTGCCTTGCGTTCGGGTTCGCATTCCCTGGCGCAGGGCCGGGCGCAGGGCTGGGCCCCGCGCGATATCGACTCTGCGGCTGCGGACTACTGCTCCTCGACCCCGACCCAATCCCCGCATACCCCATCTGGCTCGGTCCGGCCTCGCCAGACTCTGCCCGTGGCTCGCCTGCGAGCTCCCGCTCGCATTATACGCGTGCCCCTGCACCTGCCCCGGCCGCCGGCACCCCCACCCCCGACGAGTAGCTCCACCCTCCGGCTCCCGCGCGGCTGACGGTCGTGCGCTCCCCCGGCAGGCTCTGCTGGTAGTACGTCAGCACGTCGCGCGATGATCTCCGACCCGGGGCGCCCCACCCCCGCCGCGGACGCGGCCGAGGCGGGACGCATGAATGCGGCGGGGATGGGCGCGGGGGTCGGCGACGCGGGGCGCGAGAACGACGGGTGCGCGCCGACGACGGCGTCCGCGGAATAGCGGTAGTCCCGCCCTGGCGACGGTGCCCTTTGTTGTTGCTGCTGCTGCGCTGCTGCGTGGTGTGGCGCAGCGAGCGACATCGACATCGACGAGGAGGGCCGCGTCTGATGTTGCGGCGCTGCGTGCTGATTCTGGGCCTGCTGGGCCGAACCGTCCCCCGCCCCGCGCCGCACGCTCCTCGACCGCGAATTCCTCCGGATCGTCCCCTGGCTCTGCATCGCCAGCTCCTCCATCTGCCGCGCCAGCGGGTCCATCGCGTTCCCGTTGCTGTTTCCGCTAGGACCACCCTGCGGCGACGCCCCCCGATTCGCCCCGCCGGTCACGTTCTGCGACACTGGACGTCCCTGCTGCTGCGTCGCAGTTGGATCCCGCGCCAGAATCCACCCGATACGCATTCGGGCCCACCTTGATGAAGGTATCCGCGTTGGGATCGATCGGCTTCCGCGAGCGGGTCGCGCGGGGGGACGCGGTACGACGGCGAGCGGGACGTTCTCGTGGCGGTCGTAGGTTTGCCGGGCCACGTCCCCATTGGTCGTGGTCGTGGGCGAAGGTGTGGCGAAAACCGTTGGGCTGCTGCTGTTGCTGGCGGGGTTGAGGTTGGTGTTGTTGCGCCTGCTGCTGGTGCTGCTCCGCCGCCCGTCGGCTATGCGTGTTCTGGCGCGACACCGTCGCCGCCGCCGCCGCCGCCGCACTCGGGTCGTCCCCCCGTCTCACCGCCCCCACGCCCCGTCATATTCACCCCCCTCCCCTGTCGGCTCCAGATCCTCTTCCGGCTGGGCGGAATTCCGCCTCAGCGGCGCCGCGCGCTGCGAAGACCGTGCGAACTCCGCTGCGCGGAAACGTGGGTCGGGACGACGAGCTCGGGATGGCGTTGGGATCGGAGAAGTTGACGAACATAGGGGGGTCGGGGATCTGGTTGCCCCGTGCCGTAGTCGCGCACGAAGGCCCCATGTCTTTGGCGGGCTCCATTTGTTCGAGTGCGAGGCGCATTTTTCGCAAGACTGCGCAAATGTTAGTTAGATTAAATTGAAGAATCGCAACGGCACACAACACACCTCGTCATCCGACACACAACACCGTCGACACAGCGTTCGCATACGCCCACATATTGTCCTTCGTAAACTCCAGCCTGTCCTCCTCTAAATCCTGGCACGCATCGCAAATACGCGCCACTCCTGCTCCCACCCGCTCCACGCCCTCCCCCAGCGCCCTCGCGAAATTCGCAAAGTCGCGCGCGTTCTGCACCCACCGCTTCTGCGCGGCGCTCGAGCTTCAGGTGGATGCGCTCCGCGTCGCGGCCCTGCACGAGCCCCAGCTGCGCGGTGTACGAGTTGATGCACATGCAGTCCGTCTCGTACTTCTCGCGCGCCTTCGCTACGTAGTGATTCTTGGGTTTGTTTGGCCTTGAAGGACTTTTCGATGGCGGGACTGGTAGTTCTTGCGGTGTGCGTCTGTTTGGCGTGGAAGGCGGCGGTCTGGGCTTCGAGGTCGCCGCGGACCTGCTGCGCGAGGGTGAGGTTGGTAGTGCGCTTGGCGCTCGGTTTCGGTGCGGATGGTGTCGAGGGAGTTGCGCAGTCGCTGTGCGTTAATCAGTCCTCGCTATTTCGTTATAGAGCTTAGTCCGGTCCCATGTAGTTCAGCCGCTACCATGATACATGTGGTCGTGTATCACCCAGTCGAATCTAGCGCAATCCCCAGATTACGCCGCACACCAGCGACCATTCATGGGACGCCGACGGCGGCGCAATGAAGCTCTGCCTGATGTTCGCATTGGGCGCAGGGCCGAGCTCAAAGCCCAAGATAAGCCCAAAACGGGCTGGCAATTAGAGCGTCCATTGCTTGAATCCAATCGTACGAGCCTCGATGGATGGTGGATCGAAGCCATATCCATTCAAATTGAATTGCCCAAGTCGCGGACCCAGCTTCAAAGATGGTCCAAGAGGATATCCGTAGCATCGACTCACCCTATCTCATCCCTGCCCAGCACCTGTTTCGCCAACTTTGCAAGCCTTTTCGCATACTCGTCCTCAATAGCCGCCCTAATTCATACAATAAACAAATGCCACCCGGAACCCACGCGGACGGACGCACCTCTCCTTCCAGAAATTTCGTAGCTCGTCCGTCGTCCTCGCGGCGCCGCGCATGCGGGCAAAGAGCACATCGACGCCGCTGTCGGCGTAGCCCCAGAATGCATTGCAGAAATCGACGGATCGGTCGTGGGGCCCGATGTCGGAGCCCCTGGCATATTTTGCAAGAGAGGTGGTGGATGCCTGCCGTCTGGCGGACATGGTGTGTGTGGTGGTCAAAGCTGAAATGAACCAACACGCGGTGGGCTGTTAAGCTCAAATCAAAAGCAAAGACAAACAACACGCTTTCTCCTTTTGTTTCCATGTCGCCGATTGCTGTTTCTGTGATACCGTCGCCCAGCTACAAGGCACTGTGTTGAAATAGGGTCCAAGTCACTCTAATTCACTATCATTATGGACTGCTGGTGTTTGACGGAAATCATTTCAACTATCATTCATGCGTCCTCTTTTCTGGCATTTTCTTCCGCTTCTACCGACATTCAAATTTCAAAAGGCCTCTCTGGCTGATTGTTTTCCGGGGTTGAACCCTTACACCTCGGACATCAATCAAGACTCGCCTGTCTGTGCTCTACTCCAGTTGACGCTTGATTACATCCTCGGTTGGGAAGTACAATCGCTTGCAATATGGGGCCCGTGAGGCATACTTCCGCTATACGGGAAATAAGGTGGTAAGAACAGATCCAGAAAGGCTCGGTGGCGGATGGTCCGCATCTGGACGGTGTACGCTTGCTCATCATCTAACAGAAGCCGCTCGTTCGAATCGAGCCCAAGTCAAAACATTTTTTTTTTTCTTTCTCAACACCTGTATACCGAAGCCAGGCTGAAAGCTCAAGCATTTTTGGTCTTTCTCACCTACTGGGTGTAGTTGAACCATCAATGATCCCTTCCCCGCTTTGATCAACAAAGCGCCAGAGTCTGTAAACAAGTTGACCATTTATCTTTCTTCCTTCCCTCACAGGCTCGGTGGCAGAAGGTCTGCATCTGTAACATGCATATGTTCAGCATAGAAATGATGTGTATTTCAACAGAACTCAATGCTCGTTCGAATCGAGCCCGAGCCATTCGATGTCGTAGTTTTTCTACTCTTTTTAAATTTGCAAACTACTTCCTCTGCAAGACTTCATTCAAACTTGCACTCCCTAGGCCTCCTGGTTGGAGTTCAGCCATTCACTTCTCTGTTTGACCAAAAATTACTACAACCAGTCATGATTAATTCCTGTCCCTCTTCCCTCCCCTCGGGCTAGTAAAAAAAAGCCTACATGTCCGAGGCAGGTTTAAGAGAGTGAAGGCTGGTGGCGGGTGGCCCGCGTCTGCAGTATATGTTGGTTGTTGACGCCAGATTCAGCAGAGGTTCCTCGTTCAATTCGAGGGCCCAGTCATATCGTGGTAGAGGATCTCTTTTTTCATACCTTCAGGCCACTGGGTACTTCAGTCCGTGTATCAGTAAGCCGGGTTTTCGTGGGGTTCAAAAATCTAGTAGAGAACTATAATTGTTCGCACTTCTCTGCACTGAACCTTCAGATACATGTACATTTGAGGGGAACTGAACAGCTAGAAAGACCCAGTAGCAGATGGTCTGCATCTGTAACATGGTTGCGTTCAAGTTGGACTTTCAACAGAAGTTGCTCGTTCGAATCGAGCCTGGGCCATTGAACATCAGTGATTTTTCTTCTCTTTTTATGAACCTCCCACTCAATCTGAGAAACATTCACTCCCTCCTGGTTGCACAGTTTCAACCACATGACAACCACTTGATCCTTTGCCTCCGAGTATTCCCTCTGTACTTGCAACCAGTGCCGACATGACTTGAGGTGCGCAGTTTTGCCACTACATACTTACATATATTTTGAACAGGAACTGCAGTGGAAGGGCTCAGTGGTGGATGGTCCATCTCTGTAATGGGTACACCAGCTTGCCATAACAAAGATGCTTGTTCGAATCAGGCATAGGCCATTATTAAGTGTCATTTCCAAGTTTTTCTGCCTTTTGCAAGAACCTCCTACTCAGAAAGCTGATCTGAGGTTCAAACTTCCTCAGCTGCTGGTTGAAGGGTTCAACAATTCACTCTCTTCTTATTTACTACACCAGTCATAATTGATTAGTCTTCCCTCTGGCTAATCAAAGCCCGCCTGCATGCCCAGGGCAGGAACAAGAGAGAAAAGGCTGGGTGGCAGGTGGTTCACATTTGCAATACAATGCTGCTTATTCAGCAGAAATTCCTTGTCTGATTCGAGGTCTGGCCATGCAATTTCTTGTGGTGTGTTTTTTAAGCTTCTGAAGCAAAACTAAACAAATGTAGGCATAGGTATAATACTGAGTTAACCTTCCTTCTCACCGAATCTTTTCATTATATTTTGAGCAGGAATCAGAGTAGAAAGGCTTGGTGGTGGGTGGTCCACCTCTGTAATCTGTAATGTGTGTCATAAAGTTTCAGCAGAAGAAGCTCGTTCGAATCGGGCCTGAGCCATGATTATTAGGAGTTGTTTTTCTCCTTTTTTGCATGACCCTCTACACAAAGCTGATCTGAGGTTCAAACTTCCTGGGCTCACGGTTGAGAGTTCAACTATCCACTCATCTTCTTACCCAAATTTATTACACCAGTCAAGATTAATTCTCTTCCTTCCCTCAGGCCACCCAAAAAAATCTCCCATCTGGGGCAGGAACAAGAGAGGAAAGGCTGGGTGGTGGATGGTCCACATCTGCAATACACATCACTGGATGCCAATTCAGCAGAAGTTCCTTGTTCGATGCAAGGTCTGCCCATGGACCACTGCTAAACTGAGTTTTTTTACGCTTCTGAGGTAAAGCCAGAGTGAAAAATAATAATACATTTACAGTGTGAACAAGGCCAATCCAGGTATCACTAGTATCAGGCCCCTGGCAGGTTCAATTTTTCATCTGAGGCTGTGTGGACCGTCCCACTGCATATCTTCAAACATATTTTGAGCAGGAATTAGAGTAGAAAGGCTCAGTGGTGGATAGTCCACCTCTGTAATGGGTACATGAGCTTGACATAAGGTTTCAGCAGAAGATGCTCGCTCGAATCAGGCCTGAGCCATTAGGGATTCAAGTTACAACAAAGTGTTGTAATTGAAGGTAGTATAATCAGACAAGAGTTTCATGGGAACACAAATAATATTAGCGGTTGGCTGAGCTCTGCAAACACTTGAGCTTTATATGCAATCTGTAGCTACTTATATACTAATTGCCCATTGTAACTAGAATGTTCCATAATATTCTTCCATCTTCTCTAATGTTCTCCAGTGTTCTTGTATTTACTCACACCGACTCGCACTGACCCGGTAAGACTCATTATCTCAGCCACAATGCCGGGTTGCCCAAACTCCAACACAAAGCTTATCTAAAGTTTGAACTTCCTCAGCTCCTGGTTGAAGGGTTCAACCATGCTCTGCTCGACCAAATGTACTAAACTGGTCAAAATCAATTCCTGTAGCTCTTCCTTCCCTCAGGTTACCTAAAAAAATGCCCCATGTTCGGGGCAGGAACAAGAGAGGAAAGGCTGGGTGGCGGGTGGTCTGCATCTGCAATATATGTTGCTGAATGCCAGCTATTCAGCAGAGATTCCTTGTTCAATTCAAGGCCTAGCCATGGCAAAGTGAAGCAACAACTTTTTCTTTTTTCTTTTTGAGCTTCTGAGGGAAAAAGAGAACATGGACTTGAACCCAGGTCCCACTAACTCCTATCAGGTTCAAAAATTATTTCAATCAGCTGAAGCTGTGTCCAACAAATGGTATCACCCAGGTTTACTTTGGTTTTCTGAGTTCCCATTAGCTTTTTTCAAATGTATGTATTCTGAGCAGGAATTGGAGTTGAAAGGCTCAGTGGTGGATGGTCCACCTCTGTAATCTGTAATGTGTGTCATAAAGTTTCAGCAGAAGAAGCTCGTTCGAATCGGGCCTGAGCCATGATTATTAGGAGTTGTTTTTCTCCCTTTTTGCATGACCCTCTACACAAAGCTGATCTGAGGTTCAAACTTCCCGGGCTCGTGGTTGAGATTTCAACCATTCTCTGTTGGACCAAATTTACTATACTGGTCATGACTAATTCCTAGGCCTCTTCCCTCCTCAGGCTACCCAAAAAATGCCCCTATGTCCAAGAGAGGAAAGGCCGGGTGGCAGGTGGTCTGCATCTGCAATACATGATGTCTTTGAATGCCACTTATTCAGCAGAAATTCCTCATTCAATTTGAGGTCTGGCCATGCAATTTCTTGCAGTGTGTGTTTTAAGCTTCTGCAGTAAAACTAAACAAATGGAGATGCAGGTATAACACTGAGTTCACCTTCCCTCCTACTGCATTTTTCAAACACATTTGAGTGGGAATCAGAGTAGAAAGGCTCAGTGGTGGATGGTCCACCTCTGCAATGGGTACACCAGCTTGCCATAGGTTTCGGCAGAAGCTCGTTCAAATCGGGCCTAAGCCATGCGGGAAATTGATTTGAGTTTTTTTCATGAACCTCTACACAAAGCTTATCTGAGGTTGAAACTTCCTGGGCTCGTGGTTGGTAGTTAATCCATGTTTTATTTGACCAAATATAATACTACACCAGTTATGATTAATTCCTGTGCCTCTTCCCTCCCTCAGTCTGACCAACACCTGCCTGCGTTACCAGGGTAGTAACAAGAGAGGAAGGCTGGGTGGCGGATGGTCCCGCATCTGCAATACATGGCCTGAGCTTTTGCGGCTTATTCAGCAGAAGTTCCTTGTTCAATTCGAGGCCCAGCCATCCAAGATTGTGCTCCAATATTTTTTTCTCGAGCTTCTGAGGCAGGGAAAAAGTGAACATGGACAACTCAGGTCCAATAACTGATATCAAGTTCAAAAATTATTTCATTGGCTGAAGCTGTGCCCAACGAACGATATCACACCAGGTTTACCTCTGTTTTCCGGGTTCCTATTGGCTCTTTTCAAATGTATGTATTTTGAGCAGGAATGGGGTAGAAAGGCTCAGTGGTGGGTGGTCCACGTCTGCAATGTGTTGAACGTTCTATTGTGTGTTCTGCAGAAGATGTCTGTTCGAATCGGGCCTGAGCCATTAAAGGCTTGTGTCTTTTTGCATGAACCCCTGAGAAAGTTAATCTGAGATTCAAACTTCCTGTGCTCCCGGTCGGAGGGTTTGACACATTCACTTCTGTGCTTGACCAAATTTACGACATTGGTCATGGTTACTGGGCCATCTGTGTCTTCCCTCCTCAGGCTGACCCAAACCTGCCCGCATGTCAAGGGGCAGAAACAAGATGAATTCGAAAGGCTGGGTGGCGGATGGTCCACATCTGCAATACATAATTGGCCGCCATGCCATCGGTATTCAGCAGAAGCTCCTTGTTCGATTCGAGGCACAGCCATATGGTAGAGCCAAGACTTTTTTTGAGCCTGACAGATGCGAAAAAGAACAATTCATGTACGGTGTTAACCGGGGCAATCCAGGTATCGCTACTATCATGCACATGGCAGGTTCAAACAAATTATGACATTTGCTGAAGCTGGGCCAGGGCGAGGTATCACTCTGAGTCACATCCATTCCTGCTGCATCTTTTCAGGTACATTCTGCGCAGGAATCAGAGTAGGAAGGCTCGGTCCATCTCTGCGGAATGTTTGAGTTTCTCGTGTTTGAGCAGACCAATGTTCGTTCGATTCGGGCCCGAGCCATATGTCAAACATATCCTTTTTCTTTTATCAATGCCTTGCAACTCTGGAATAGTTTTTAATCGTTTTCAGTCTGAGGCGGGGGGCTAATAGTACTGACCTAATTTTGAAATCAAGTAAATTAACATTACTTATGCCTAATAACACGACAGCTTGTTGAAATATACGCCCTTGAGTTGACTGAAATGTCAGAAAAAAAATGCCCGCATATACGGAGTAGGAACATGGTAGGAAAGGCTTGGTGGATGGGTCCGCATCCGCAATACATAAGCATCTGTCTAACGTGCTCTGCGGAAGTCACTCGTTCGAATCGAGTTCAAGCCATCTGTCGAGAAGTCGTTCTTTTTTTGTCAACACTGACAGGAAAACTCATTCCAAGAAACCGAACGGCGTAAT